TTATTGGACTCTTTCCCTCTGGAACTTTCTGAATCCCATCCTGTTCCTGTAACACTTTTGGTCCAAGTGATGACTTTCTTTGGTGTAAGTCCTGGGTCGTTCAGGAGAGCTGTTTCAGGTGGATTGTTCTGCACAAACCAGGGGATTTTTTTGATCTTTCCATTTCTCATCCTGCAACCAGAGGTTTCAGACTCCATGGCCCTGCTGCCTCCTCCTCCTTGCTGTTCCCAAACCCTTCAGGTTTGTTTCAGGACAGTTTGAATGAACGTGCAGCCCTTTCCATAATCCTCACATACGACTTGCTCTTTGTATCCATGCCAGGACCCATAATGTTTTCCTGATAATTTTAAGTCCTATGGTTTAGGAGAGTATAGAGAGGGCACTCACTGAGCTGTGCTAAGAATAATTCCAACTGCTCTGCAGTTTGGCTCTGCAACCAGAGCCACGGGGCTCGGAGCCAAGAGTTCGAGTTACTCTGGAACTTGTCATCTTTGAAGCCCTAGAGCTCCATCTGAAGCCAGTTATGACCGTGGAGTGTCTGAATAGCCTCCACAGCAGCTACAGCTCAGACCTTGGAGGCAAGAGAGAGCCTGGATTTTCATTTGGGCAGCAGTTGGCTGTTTTCTCCGTTTGCACTTAAAAGAATTAGGGGTGAGAAGCCTTCTTGCTCCTTTCAGCAAGATGTTTTGAGATCCACAGGAAAGGAAGAAGCAGGAAGTACAACAGTTTTTAATGCATTTTGTCTGACACTTGAGCAGAGGCCTGGGAAATGAGAGAAATGGGGTCTGATAAGATTCCTGGATGTGGGAGGAAGCAAGTGCCAGTGTCTGGTCTGGTTTGTGGTGAATGCAGAGTAGAGCTGAGCCTTTTCTGCAGGAAAGCCCTTTCTGTGGGCAGACTCCTGCCCCCGAGGCATCCTTGTGGAATCCACAGGGAACCTCCCCAGGCAGCCACAAGGAATTGTGGCCACGGCGTGTGAAACGGAACAACTGATCCAACTTTCACACTGGGTACGGCCAGCGAGGAGACAGAGCCTCTCCCAGGCCCTGCCGTGGGGCAGATCCTCTGGCTCTGGGGCCTCTGCCCAGAGCTTTGGCTCCTCTGTTTCATGGAATCAGTGAGGTTGGACAGACCTCTGGGACCAATGAGTCCAACGTGTGCCCGAGCACCGCCTCGTCACCCCGGGCAGAGCACTGAGAGCCGCCTTCAGGCGTCTCTTGGAGAACTCAGGGATGGTGACTGCACCACCTCCCTGTGCAGCCCCTTCCAGCGCTTAAAACCCCTCCAGAAAAACAATCCCGAATTCCCACTGACCCGGCCTTGTCTGTGCCTCTCTCCTCCCGCAGAACTACAAGCGGCCGATGGACGGCAGCTACGGCCTCCCCGCCAAGCGGCACGAGGGCGAGCTCTACAACGTTCCCTACAGCTCGGGGCAGGGCCAGCCCCAGCAGCAGCTGCCCCCGGCGCAGCCGCAGCAGCCCAGCCAGCAGCCGCCGGCGCAGCCCTCGCCGCAGCAGGACCTGTACAACCAGTACGGCAGCACGTACCCGGCCGAGCGCCGCGCCGGCCAGAGCCAGTTCCCCTTCCAGTTCGGCAGGGACAGGGTCTCGGCCGCCCCCGGCTCCGGCGCCCAGCAGAACATCCCCCCGCAGATGATGGGGGGCCCCATCCAGCCGGCCCCCGAGGGTCCCCAGCAAGGGGCCCTGTGGCAGGGCAGGAACGAGCTGGGCTACGGCAGTTACCCCAACCGGCAGAGCTCGGGCGCGGCGCCCCAGGGCCCCGCCTACCACGGGGTCACTCGAACAGATGAAATCCTGCATTCAGACCAGAGGGTCAACCACGAGGGACCATGGCCTTCCCACGGGAACAGGCAACCTCCCTACGGCCCCTCCGCCCCCGTGCCCCCCATGACCAGGCCCCCCCAGTCCAACTACCAGACCCCCCCCAGCATGCAGAATCACATTCCTCAGGTATCCAGCCCAGCACCTCTGCCCAGACCTCTGGAGAACCGCACTTCTCCCAGTAAATCCCCGTTCCTGCACTCGGGGATGAAGATGCAGAAGGCGGGGCCGCCCGTGCCCGCCTCGCACATCACACCAGCAGCTGTGCAGCCTCCCATGATCCGACGGGACATCACCTTCCCGCCGGGCTCGGTGGAGGCCACGCAACCTGTGCTGAAGCAGAGGAGGCGGCTGACGGCAAAAGATATCGGTAAGAGGGAGCTCCTGCCTTTCTGCTGGAGCCTGCTGAGGGGTCCTGCTGCCTTGGCCCCTCGGTGCAATCCTGCCAAGCAGAGGGCTCTGCTGGCTTTGGAAAAAAGAGGCATTTTTATAGGGTAAATGTGTTCTGAGCCCTTATTCTGGCACTGCCTGCGGGCAGGTTGGTGGTAGACACAGCCTGTACATCATCTTAACCAGGCTCTGCTCTTCACAGGTCCAAATCAGTATCAAGTGTCTCCTTTTTGTTTTGAAACTCCAGGAGCTGGAAGTATCATGTGTTTATGTTACAGGAACTCCTGAAGCCTGGAGAGTGATGATGTCTCTGAAGTCGGGGCTGCTGGCTGAAAGTACGTGGGCCTTAGATACCATAAACATCCTGCTCTATGATGACAACAGCATCATGACCTTCAACCTCAGCCAGGTGGGTGCAGATGCTCTCTGGGGCAGGTCTTTGAAGTGCTGATGCTGCAGGGGTTTCTGTCAGCCAGGTGGCAGCCAGCAGCTCCTGCAGCCTCTACCTGGAGCGTGGGGTGGGGGCAGCTGTGAGCGGTCACTCCCTGGCCTGAGTGATCTGTGTGTGTGCAGAGGCCTTCCCTGGGAGTTACCCAGGGGGGAGACACAACCGAGAGCACAGGGGGACAGTTTGGATACTGACAGCCAATGCCTGCTTTTGTCCCTTTTCTCAGAGGACAAAAACCTCTCTTCTGCACCATTTATTGCCAGAACGAGAAGCACCGTTAATTGCTAGCACTGCTTAAACTCTCTGCCCTGCATGTGTTGGCCTGAGTTGTTTTCTGATGGCTGTTCCTTCCTCCCCTCCTGTTTTTCTCCCCCCCTGCAGCTGCCAGGCTTGCTGGAGCTCTTGGTGGAATATTTCCGGCGCTGCCTGATTGAGATCTTTGGAATCCTGAAGGAATACGAGGTAGGAGACCCAGGGCAAAGAACACTATTAGATCCTGAAAGGTTCTGCAAATCTTCAGCTTCCTCCCCTGAAGAAGGGGAGGAGGACGATGAGCCACGGAGCCTGAACTGCGAGGAGGAAGAGGAGGATGAGGAAGAGGAGGAGGCTGCGTTTTCAAGCAAGGACAAAGTACCTCTAGAGAGCAGCGAGGAGAAGCTAGTGAGTAAATTCGACAAGCTTCCAGTGAAGGTGGTGCAGAAGAACGACCCCTTCGTGGTGGATTACTCGGACAAGCTGGGCCGGGTGCAGGAGTTCGACAGCGGGCTCCTGCACTGGCGCATCGGCGGCGGGGACACCACCGAGCACATCCAGACACACTTCGAGAGCAAGACCGAGCTGCCCTTGCCTCACAAACGAGCTTCCTGCTCCTCTGCCTTGAGGAAACGTTCAGCAGCCGAGAGCAACCCGAGCCCCAGGGAAGGGGAGGCTCCTGCGCCCGACGGCTCCTCGGAGAAGAGGATAACTGCCACCATGGACGACATGCTCTCGGCATGCCCGGGCTCCCTGCCGGGGGAGGAGGAAGAGGTCAAAGCTTCGGAAACGGCGAAGGAGAGCAGCAAGTTTCCCTTTGTCATCAGTCCAGCTCAGAGCCACAGAAATATAAAAATCCTGGAGGATGAACCCCACAGTAAGGACGAGACGCCGCTCTGCACCCTCCTGGACTGGCAGGACTCTCTGGCCAAGCGCTGCATCTGCGTCTCCAACATCATCAGGAGTTTATCGTTTGTGCCGGGCAATGACTTTGAAATGTCCAAACACCCTGGGCTGCTGCTGATTCTAGGGAAACTGATCCTCCTACACCACAAGCATCCAGAACGCAAACAGGCGCCCCTGACCTACGAGAAAGAGGAGGAGCAGGACCAGGGGGTGAGCTGCAACAAGGTGGAGTGGTGGTGGGACTGTTTGGAGATGCTGCGTGAAAACACACTGGTCACGTTGGCCAACATTTCTGGGCAGCTGGACCTCTCCCCTTACCCGGAAAGCATCTGTTTGCCTATCCTGGATGGACTCCTCCACTGGGCAGTGTGTCCCTCAGCAGAGGCCCAGGATCCCTTTCCGACACTGGGACCCAACGCTGTCCTCTCCCCTCAGAGACTGGTTTTGGAAACACTCAGCAAACTCAGCATCCAGGACAACAACGTGGATTTGATCCTCGCCACGCCGCCGTTCAGCCGCTTGGAGAAGCTGTACAGCACCATGGTGCGGTTCCTCAGTGACAGAAAGAACCCGGTGTGCCGGGAGATGGCCGTGGTGCTGCTGGCCAACCTGGCCCAGGGGGACAGCCTGGCCGCCAGAGCCATCGCTGTGCAGAAGGGCAGCATCGGCAACCTGCTGGGCTTCCTGGAGGACAGCCTGGCCGCCACGCAGTTCCAGCAGAGCCAGGCGGGGCTGATGCACATGCAGAGCCCGCCCTTCGAGGCCACCAGCGTGGACATGATGCGCCGCGCCGCCCGCGCGCTGCTGGCCCTGGCCAAGGTGGACGAGAACCACTCGGAGTTCACCTTGTACGAGTCGCGGCTCTTGGACATCTCCGTGTCGCCTTTGATGAACTCTTTGGTTTCACAAGTTATTTGTGATGTACTGTTTTTAATTGGCCAGTCATGACAGCTGTGGGATCCGAGCCCCCGTGTGCGTGTGCGTGAGTGGAGAACTTAGAAACTGACTGTTGCCCTTTATTTATGCAAAACCACCTCAGAATCCACTGTCTGCCCTGCGCTGTCCTGCTTCTCCCTCGGGGAAAGATCTCCCCGGCCCCTCTCCCCCTTCCCTGCCCCTCAGATTTGTCCCAAACCCCTTATTAAAGGAGACAAAGTTCTGTCTACATAGAAGACTTTTTTTATTTTAACCAAAGTTACTGTCGTTTACAGTGAGTTTGGGGAAAGACGACTTGCCGTGTTATCCCGTTGACAGGCACCACTTTCATAACTGTTTTTAATGGTAAACTCTGAAGGACAAAAAGTGACTGCTGAACTCTGTGTGGTTTATCGTTGTACATTCACAATCTTGCAGGAACCAAGAAGTTACCAGTTGTGAACAGACCTTGTCCAAGGGAGGCCTGTGCAGTAGCGTGTAGAACTCCATGTACTGTACACCTTAAACTGTAAACATACTGTAATAATGTCTCACATGGATAAAAAAAAAAAAGAAAAAAACGCTGGATCAGCAGCAAGCTGTAGTTTTTAAAAATGTTTTTAGTTAATGTTGAGGAGAAAAAAAAAGGCTTTTCCCCCAAAGTATAATGTGTGAACCTACAACACCCTGACCTCTTTCTCTCTTCCTCCTTGATTGTATGAATAACCCTGAGATCACCTCTTAGAACTGGTTTTAACCTTTAGCTGCAGCCCAGCGCTGCCACGTGTGTATATATATATGACGTTGTACATTGCACATACCCTGAGACTCCTGCAGTTTTGTCCCCTCCCACCCTTTATAGTATGACGAGTTAACGAGTTGATGACCTGCAAAAGCGAGACACAATTATTTAATCTCTTGCCAGACATCCCTCCCTGGAGGATGCTGTACAGGTCTCTGTGTATAAAGTCATTGCTGTCTCAGCAGCCAATCAACTTATAGTTTATTTTTTTCCTGTTTTTGTTTTCTTTCTAATCGAGGTGTGAAAAAGTTCTAGGTTCAGTTGAAGTTCCTGATGAAGAAACACAATTGAGATTTTTCAGTGATGAATTCTGCATATTTGTATTTCAGACGATGTAGCTAAAAACTTGATGTAAATTCCTCCCTTTTTTCCTTTTTTGGCTTAATGAATATCATTTATTCAGTATGAAATCTTTATACTATATGTTCCACGTGTTAAGAATAAATGTACATTAAATCTTGGTAAGATGTTTGTAAGGGTTTTTTTTATTGGCAGGACAGGGAGGGCAGCTCAGTGCTGGTGGTGCCCGAGGCCTGCCCTGCTCGGGAGCTCTGCTGCTTGCTCTGACTTTGCTTTCCCTGCGGGGATTTTTCCTTAGGAGCTGCCCAGGCTCGGGATTTGCAGCGTGAGGTGAGGCTGTGGCTGCCAGGGAGGGAAGGGCCTTGCTGGGAAGGGATGCAGTTCCCTCCCAGCTCTGTAAAATGGAAAATTTTCCTTCCCCGCGCATTTTTCACATTTTCCTGGGAGCGTGGCGCGGGCTCCCGACTTCCTCCCGAGCCGGGGCTTTCCAGCAGCAGAGCTCCCCGGCCCTGCAGCAGGCAGGCCACGCTGAGCCTCTCAGGATGAGGATCTGCACGTTGCAGGGCTGTGCAAGCAGGAATTTCATTTAGCCCGAGGCTTTGTCCTCGGTGGATACTGCAAGTAGGGTAGCCAGAATGCTCCGAGCTCATTCAAAAAAAAGAGATTTTTTTAAAGGCAAACGTCATTTTTGTTCAGAAATTCCCCTTGTTTTATCTTCCCAATCCTCTCCTCAGGAGCTCTCAGTTCCCAGAGCCTTCATTCCTCAAACTTCAGATTCCTGGGGGCGACTGTGCCAAAATCAAAGAGCTTTTTCCTGAAAAGTCTTGTCTGTCAGCAGGAGTTGTGGGAGCTCTTCCTGGCAGGAGAGTCCTTCAGGTGGATGGCTGAAAAGGCAGGAACGGTGCTGGGCTTCCTTGGCTCCAGGAAACGCTGGCACCCAGGACTCTGCCCCTGCACAGCTGCCCTGCCAGCCAGGTCTGTGTCCCAGGAGCTGCGTTCAACCTGAGGAAACACACCTGGAGGTTCTGCTGCTTTTCCCGAGCAGGAAGGAGCAGCAGTGGCGGGAGGCAGGTAACGGCGGCGGCTGGGATCGCGTGGCTTTCATCCGCAGGGAATGCGGGCCGGCAGGGAGGAGAGGCACCAGACCCATGTTACCAGAATCACGCACCCGGCTGAGCCCCGCGGAGGAGTTCTGCTGCATCTCGTGTGTGTGCACAGCCGCAGCCCCGGGCGCTGCTCAGTGAAAATGAAGGGCAGCGATGAGAAATGAGAGCAATGAGAGCTGGGGAGCCACACCCGACCCCAGCCCTTGATGGGCCTGATCCGTACCCAAATCCTTCTGTTCCAGGAATTCCTCTAACACTTTGGACTCCACTCTGCTGTTCCCCACGTTTTTCCAGCAAAGAAAACTTGATTCCTCCCGAGGCCGATGCCCGATGAAGCGCCCGAGGCTCAGCAGCCCCGAGGGTTTCTCCTTCAGCCCAGGGGGGATCCGGGCCGGGCACCGAGAGCTTCACTGAGGGCTCCGGGTGAACTCAAGTTTTCCCCTTTGCTGGCAGAAACGGGGAACGGCAGAGAGAGGCGTGTGACGAACTCTAGGAACGGAAAGATTCGGGTGCAAGGCGTGAGGGACTGGCGTTCAGGCCGCCATCCCCCTGTGCCCTCCGGACGGGCCCGCCCTGCCGCCTCAGCTCCTTGTGCTGCTGCTGCCGGGGCACAGCCCTGGGCCTGCCCCACTTAGGAAACGCTGGCACCCACCCGGTTCCCATTCCCGGTCCCGGCCCGGCCCGGGTCCCTCGCCCGCCCTCAACAAAGATGGCGCCGCCCACCCCTTCCCCACGCGCGCGCGGCGCCGCCGCGTGACACCGGAAAGGGGCGCGCGGCCGGAAGTTGCGCGCGCGCGCGCGGGGGAGCAGCGGGCGGTGCCAGGGAGCCGCGCGCGCCGCGGTGTTGGGGGGGGGGGGGGGGGGCGCCCCCC